TCTTGATAATAAAATCTGAAAACCACAATATCCATTCGTAAATTAGAAGAAAAATTCCGCGAATATCATGGACGAATGGAATGGTAATCCAGAAATTTCTAGCCTTTCTCGAGCTTCAGAAATTTCTAGGCTTGCAGTTTCGCGTTGCCGAGATTTCAAACTTTAGCAAGGCGTTCAGTTCAGTTCAGTTCAGTTCAGTTCATTTTTATTTAGCCAAAATACAGTACAATGCAAGAATACATATAGGAATTGTAAGGTTGCAAGGGAGCCCAGAGGAAACCAGAAGGCTTTATGAAGCCTGGGCTCCCCAGTCTAAAAGAGATAAGTAAAATAAAATGATATTCTCGGAGTGATACGTTAAAAATAGGAACCAAACAGAGACTGAGTTAAGTTATGAATTCAGAAACAAGATAGAAAAAAAAATTTAACTCTGGATTGGAACAGAATACTTTCCTTTGTTAGTACGGCAGAAAGGAATATAAAATTGATTTGAACTACGCGTTCATTGATTACGGCCGCCATGTTGTTTTCATCAAGTCGAAAGTGCATCACTTTAATCGCCCAAAACTCAGCAATGATTCATTGATTCGAGATCAAAAATCCGACAAACACATCGCAGACGGATACAAAAAGCTCGTTCATACCTTTAAACGCGAGGCTGTACAATTTTTTGTGGCAAAAAACCTTGCCGTAAATCACTTACCGCTGGAAGCCCTCCCTGCGGTTCAAACGTGAACTGCAAACTGCAAACGTGACCGCAAGGCTTTGGTCACGTGACATTTTGCGGTTTGCGGTTTGCCGTTTCCCACGAAAAACCTGATGCTAAAGGTCCCTAATGTCACAGCTGTTGCGCACGCTTCTGAGGTCCCGTAACCTTTTCTCCTACATGTTGCTTTTTGTAATCCTTTGCGCGAGCTTTTGGCTACTGAGGTCTTTTCTCTCTGAGTTACTTTACTTTTTACCATTTACTACTCATAATAAACTCTTACAGTGCGAATACTCGACGCTGGGCTTTTGGAAATAGATTATCCAAACACAAATCATAATAATCATGGCGGTTTTTGAAAACGTAAGATTCTCATTAAATTTGAGGGCCAATTCCTGAGAGGTCAGGTAAGTTCAATCGGTTTTTAAGTTATCAACAGTTTCATAGTTGCACATTGAATTTTTTTTGGTCTGTTTACATTAACAGAGAATCTCTTGTTTTCAAAAAAAAACAAAAACGGTAAGTTCAAACGATTTGATTGGATAATAATCTTTCAAGCGCCCCGGTTCAAATAGTCATACTCTTTAAAACGCGAAAAACAAACAAATAGGCGCAGATTTAGAGTCGAATGAACGATTTAAATCATGACAAAACTCCTTGAAGCCAAACGGAGAAAATAACCACGTGCTGGAGAATAAACCTTTTTAGCTTGTATGTTTTGTCTTCCCTTTTCAGACCACTTGATGGTACCCCAGAGAACCTTTCCTTTCAAAAGTTGTCCTTTGCTCGTGCATCCACGAGCATATGTATGTATATTTTATGAAAAGACAAAACGCCTTGAGAACATCACGCGGTGTGAAATGGGAAAATAAAACATAAGCCAAAAAGGTCTATTACAACCAAGAGCCACTACAACTCTTTTTAGAACTGAATTTCCTTCAGAAACGTGGGAATCCTTGAACGGGGCAACATTACTACATTACCTTTTTAGACGCCAGGTATTCCATTCCACGGGATATTTGGTAAGAGTAGTTTACAAGATTTGATATATTCAATCCTATCTCTGGGTCACTCGCAGTCGTAGTCCAGGTTGCTTCATAAACATCTCGCTTGCCTCGTAAGAACTTTTGTAAACTCCCATGTGGTGCATATTCCAGAATGACAAGGATACGATCTCGCTTGATACAAGCACCAAGGAGGTTTACAATGTTTTTGTGTTCTCCAACGNAATAGACCTTTTTAGCTTGTATGTTTTGTCTTCCCTTTTCAGACCACTTGATGGTACCTCAGAGAACCGTTCCTTTCAAAAGTTGTCCTTTGCTCGTGCATCCATGAGCATATGTATGTATATCTTATGAAAAGACAAAACGCCTTGAGAACATCACGTGGTGTGAAATGGGAAGATAAAACATAAGCCAAAAAGGTCTATTACAACCAAGAGCCACTACAGCTCTTTTTAGAACTGAATTTCCTTCAGAAATGTGGGAATCCTTGAACGGGGCAACATTACTACATTACCTTTTTAGACGCCAGGTATTCCATTCCACGGGATATTTGGTAAGAGTAGTTTACAAGATTTGATATATTCAATCCTATCTCTGGGTCACTCGCAGTCGTAGTCCAGGTTGCTTCATAAACATCTCGCTTGCCTCGTAAGAACTTTTGTAAACTCCCATGTTGTGCATATTCCAGAATGACAAGGATACGATCTCGCTTGATACAAGCACCAAGGAGGTTTACAATGTTTTTGTGTTCTCCAACGCAAATTAGAATTTTCAGCTCTGATGCCAGGTCTCTTACTTCCTCTTTAGTAGCTTTCCCTGAAGTGCCAAAATATCGTACTCGGTCAGTTAAAAAAGTGCAGTTTCCACAGGGTCTAGTGGAGTCCATGTGACCATGTAACAAGCAACGTTCACTTTAACTGGGCACAAACCTCAGCAATAGGAATGAGCACGAACGGTTCTCATGCATGAGAGACGCCCTATGCGAATTGCCCACCTCACCCATGCTGAATCCAGGGGCATGGCTGGAGTTTTTTCCACTGGTAGCCGCAGATTCCCAAATCAACCCTACCCCGTCTCCCACATCAGTACCGCGCAGGTAACCTGGTAACTCGTCCCCTCCCCTGCATATTATCAGCTGCTACAGTAACTATAAACCAAATTCCTTTTTTGTCCCCCTCCACCAACCCCGGACAAGTACCAGCCATCCTTGCTCCATAGTAAATGTTACACAAGTTGAAATAGAGATCTCTTGACTTGAAACATTACCTTTAACAGTCTTTACAGCTACGATGGTCTTCGAGTACGCACTGCCTCTGGGATCATGGTACGCATGGCCGGCCCTGTGTTGACGAAACATTTTAGGCCACCGCTGACTTTTCTTTTGACTTTTGTCTCTGGGACTAAAGTTGTTTATTCCTATAGCCTCTGCTTTAATGACTTTTCCGAAGGCCCCTGATCCTAGCAACTCCCCAAGAATGAGCTTGTCCTCAGGAAACTCGAAATCAGGGTCATAAGGCAGATCATTACATTGTTCAAGCAGTGTACGATTAGGGTCAATCTAAAACAATCAAGAAATATTTTATTAATTAACGTATACAGTAGGGACCTATTTAGTCTAAGCAATGGTAAGTTCATTCCCTCCAACTGGAAACTGTTTGGTTCATGAGTATTACCTGAATTTAGAAGGCCATTTCAGGGCGATGGATCACTTTTTTAGTCCAGTCAAAGAATAAACAAAAGCCAGTTTAGGTTTGAAAAGTAGACTTAAATTTATGGCCACTCGGCAAAGAAACTAGGCACCTCGTTCACGGTAGGTCGACAAAAAAAGTCGTGACTATTTTGCGGAACAGACTGGTTCGTAGCCTGAAATGAAATGAACAAAATGTCAGCCATCTTTACTATCCGTGAGTATACATCTATTTATCCGTGAGTATATATCTATTTTAAAACGAGGAGCAATCTATGGTTGCAATTTTGCAAATTGTGTCTGTCGACTGGCCTCGAACAAGCAACTCAGATGCTGATAATTGTATAATCATTCATTTCTCAAAAGTGTCCAACACCATGAGAGTTTACACGAATGTACGTAAAGTGGCCATAAGTAAAGCAACCCTCCACTTTCGAAAGGTTACTAAGGATTTTAAGCAAAAGAGAGTCGACGATGGTAACGAGAAGGTAAACCACTAGCGGGTCGGATTAACAACCAAAAACGACAACTTTGCACGGGCTATCAAACCTAATTGCACGACTACGACGTGAAAAATTAGTCCCAATGAGCGTTTTGCGAAGGAAGTTAACCGGCACTGACAATAGATTTTTTATTACCTTTTTTAAATTGGTTGTCCATAGAAATTCAACTACTCCACGTAAAGTCACCTACGTTTCACATATCAAAGGAGATGACGATAATCGAGATGAAGTTTGAAAGATTGCAAATTCATTTTATTTTCGCCGTCATGTTTGAACAAAGGTTGAGAGACGTTTGGTTATAAAACTCCTTCTCTAATTTCATCGCTCCTCTGAGACAAAATTTTCACAAGTAAAAGAAATCCCCCTTCTCCGTTCTTTCGCGTTTAAAGTTGTCATTGTAGGTGTTGAGTATGATCCTTGAATGGGAGGGGTGTGAAATTTAAGCCGTCCAACAAGCATCATTTTTAGCCAAAATAAGTTGCAGAATCCAAGCAGGCACTGGTTGTTATGTAGTGGCTTCATTTTAAGCTCGTTTTACATGGTATTTTACCTGGTGTTTTCCAGTGTATACTGGAAAAAATTGATTACGATACTCCACAATCTGCTTCCGCTGGTGGTGTTTAAAGCAAAAGAAGGCGAACCCAAGGACGATACACAGGAACAGGATTGCTACGACAACAGAAAGGGCAACAGTGGCATCCATCCTAAGAACTTCTGTTGGAGATAGATTTGGGTTGGAGCTGGTTGACACTAGAAAATATTCAAAGACAATATCGCTTATTGCTTCAGTTAAATTACATTATTGTTCATTCAAAATATTTCCCTAATTCTGATTGGCTAAAACACACGCATAATTCACCTTAACCAGTTACTGATGACCAAATTTTGAAGAATTTTGTGTTTAACGAGGAAACGACGTCACAAATGCAGCCCGCTGCAGGTTAAGGCACTGTTACCGAGAAGACCTGGAGACGTAATCAGGTCAGTTTCTTTCATTAAAACACTTACTTGCTTTCAATGATGTGATAAACACGTATGGAGGGGAATACTGGACAAAAATGGAATTGAATAAATTTATATCAAACCGCGTGATGCATTATATCGTACCATGTGGTGACATACCCAGCAAAACAACAAACTTCTCGGTGGAAAGATATACCATACCCGATACATCGTGTTATTGTATCGGACATGCCCCTACATCGTACCGTATGCTGCTATATCGTACCTGGTGCTGCCAAATTGTCATCAATGTGCGGCTATATCGTACTTGATGAAACTATATCTTAAGCGGAGTGCGATGTTACCGTAACCAATAGGCCATTACATCGTCCCTTATGCTACTATATCGCCTTCAGTGATGCTACATTGTGAGCGGTGTGCCAAGATATGCTAATAGCCATGTCACTACATCGTCCCCTATGCTGCTATATCGTAGGAAGCTAGAAGGAATATCCTATGCAGTGAAGATGAAAGGTTTAACTGGTCAGCGGCTTAGTTTAAAAAGGCGCGAAACTGCACGTCTGTCGTATCACACTTCGTGTCGTCGATTCGTCGTCGAGTCAGACCGACGAAACAACGAAAGTTGACTCGTGTCGTAGCAGCCACTACTTATGACCAGCGGTTTCGCTATTTCCCTTTGTCCAGCGGTTGCCCTATTTCCCTCTGTCGTTTTATCGGCCGATTATCGGCCCATTTTATCATGTTTATTATCCATCGATCTGTTTCTAAAATTTTAGTGCAAAATTATGGAAGGCCAGCATCAGTCACCTCTTGAGCTTGTCACTTCCAACCTTAGAGCCGTGTTAAATGACGTGATAAATAAGTTAGAAAGTAGATACTACTCCAGCAATATCGACTATGTGAGATACAAGATCGACTGGATTTGCACTCTGCTAGTCAGGCTTGGAGGCACTTTAGAAGAATCAGTTCTTCCGTATTTACAAGAAGCAGCATGGATGCTAGCTGTTATTGATCAAGAGAATGACGAGAGTTCAATATTTTCGCCTACAGAAGTAAAATCAGGTTTCAGAGGTAGGCCGAAATTTGACATTTCTTGTGAACAGCTTGAGTACTTCCTTGACAATGGTTTTAAGGCCACTGATATAGCGAAAATGCTCTGCGTTAGTGTCAAAACAGTCTATAGAAGGTTGGAGGAAAATGGTCTATCGATGCGTGATACATATGCCGTTTTAACCGAGCAAGAATTGGACGAGATCATTAAAAATGTATTAATGGAGTTTCCAAACTGTGGCTACAAAAGCATGCGTGGTCACCTCTTATCTGCTGGGTACAAAGTACAGGAAAACCGCATACGGGAGTCCATGAGAAGGGCTGATCCAGATGGTACTGTGGTGAGAGCACTTCAAATACGCGTAACTCACCGGAGATCTTATAGTGTCAGATCACCTCTGTCATTGTGGCACATGGATGGTAATCATAAACTAATCAGGTGAGTATTTTAAGAATGGAAGCGAAGGTGTACCCCTCTGTAAGAAGAGAAAAGGTGGGATGGAAAAAATAATTCTGAAGAACATGTTGCTCCTTAATATTTAAGTACCATAATGAATCTAAAGAGAAATAATGTATAGTCCAATTCAAGTTTTGAGAATGGTTTTCAAATAGAAACAACTTATCATTTCTTTCTTTTTAGATTTCTTAAGATACTTTTCAAAATATTAGGAGCAAGTTGTTTTGGAGTTGTTTTCATCCTGTGTAGTCCTATGAATATTCACCTATCAAATGTCATCTCAGGGGTGAGGAAGGAGGAAAGGCAGTGACCATTATTAGAGACCAGCTAGGATTTAGCAGGAACATATTGTCTGTTTTATTATTTCCAATCAGTTATGTGCCAAGTACGTTGAATTTGTCACCTTACACGCTGTCAGCAAGGGTTACTTTAAAAATTTTTGTGGCCAAAAAATAGAATTCCCTATACTAGTTTATTGCCAGGGAGCTGGGGGATTTCAAGATGTTGTGCAAATTGCTAAAGGTCAATGGTATACCTAACCTCCCCTCTCTCTCTCTCACACACACACATAATTTAGTAATGGCCACTGATGGGTAAACACCTTAATGCATGGTTAGATTTCTGCTGCTTTTTTACAAAATAAGAAATATCAATTTATTTCCTTTCCTATAATAGCTTTGATCACAGGTGAATGTATCATTAACGTCCACTAGGTGGAAATTTGTTGTGCATGGATGTGTTGATGGCTACTCAAGGAAAGTAATGTACTTATCATGCAATGGAAATAACAAAACAAATACAGTGCTAACAGCATTTTTGCAAGCCGTTTCTGACCATGGGCTTCCTTCCAGAGTAAGAGGGGACCATGGTGTTGAGAATGTGGAAGTGGCATGGTATATGTTGACTCACCCTACTAGAGGACCAGGTAGAGGCAGCTACATTACAGGACCAAGTGTGCATAATCAGCGCATTGAACGCTTATGGCGAGATGTATTTGTTTCATGTCTCTACATTTACTATTCTGTTTTTCAGTATCTTGAAGAATCTGGCTATTTAGATTTGTCAGATAATGTCCAGCTATTCTGTTTACATTATGTGTTTAAGCCACGAATTAATGCACACCTTCAGAATTTTACAAGCTCATGGAACAATCATCCTATACGGACAGCTGGAAATAGGACACCAAACCAACTGTGGATAGGTGGACTCATACAAGTAACAGGAAGCTGTGATTATGCTGCAGTTGAGTTGCAAGAACAGTTAACTCAGGTAAAGTAACAGTGTATTTGGGTTTATGGCCACAGCCTGCATCTATATATTCACATACAGTAATTTTACAATTTTATTAATATTTTTTGAGGTAAAACCAAACAGCTTTATGCACATGATTTGCTAACTATTTTAACAAAGTGACTGTCTTGCTAGGAAGGGTACAAAACTTAAATAAAGAAGTAAAAATAACATTACATTCAGAAAAATGGGATTTATTTCTTCAAATTTGTATCAAGTGAAACCAAAGAATACTTTGATCAAAGAACCACTGCACTTTTGGCTTGTACAATATCAATAGGTGTCGTCAGCGTGAGTATTGCTATATTGCCCACCTTCTGCTAGCAAGTTTTGTGGAAAGATAAAAGTTATATTTCGCAGTATCTGCTCTGTTAGGACTGGAGTCACTATGGGATAGATTTTGAAGGACCTCTACCACAAACAGAGACAGGTGTAGAAGTTGCTGTTGATGATATCCCAAATCCACTCTCAGACAGAGATTTCTGTGACCTGTCACAACAAGTCAACCCACTTGCCCATGATGAAAGTTACGGGATAGATCTCTATGTACAGACGTGTACGTTTGTGACGGAACGAATCCAGCCTTAAATCCCATACAGGATGGTACTTTGTTAGGATACTTTTAAAAGGTGTTGTTAAATGAAAAAAAAAATAGAAAGAAAGAAAGAAAAAGAAACTGTAGTCATTGCCAACTGTTGGTTTACAGGTCTTTTTCATGGTATCCGGTCACTTCATTCCATGGTCAGATCGTTCCACTTAATAGTCATATTGCTCCACAATATGGTCAGAACTTTTCACGAGTCTTTAAGCCACGAGCAAAAACAAGGGCGCTACTCATGCGTATACCTCGTCCCTTTAAGCCATAAGCCAAAAAAGCAAACAGGCGAGTTTTATACTACAGTGCAACCTGGATTTAACGAAGTCCTCGGTATAATAAACGATTTTCTTCAGCCCGGCCAAAATTACAGTCAAATGCATGGAAAGGAACCTTGATTTAAAGAAATCCTTGTTAGAACAAACACAATCCATAAGCGCAAACGTAAAATTTACCTCGATATAATGATATAACGAATAAATGTCAGCATGTGATAAAAGGTGAATGCCAAACAGACCAACAAGGATAAAATTTAGTACTGTTGCTATGTACAGCTCGGTAGTGAAATGTTATAACAGTAATAATGCTGGGTTTTGTAAATTAATTATTAACTATACTGATATAACGAACATTTTGTTACTTTTCCCGAAATTCGTTAACTGGAGGTGTTCGATATGACGAACCCTCGATTTAACGAACAAACTGAATTTCCATCGTCCCTTGACACATCGTTAAATCGAGGTTCCACTGTAAATCTGTGGAACGATCTGACTATCAAGAAGAACGACCTGGCTTGGAACGATCTAAACCTTGCAACGAACTGACTGTAAAACTTTTTCATATACTTTCAAAAGATAGATGACCAGGAGCATGCAGTGGTTGTTACAGCTATGGCTGATTTCCTATGTAGAAAGACAGGTACAGTCGACTTCCGATAACTCGAACCTCCCGCTAACTTGCACCAACATTGATTTCCCCTGGATTTAGATCATACATTCACTGTAATTTACCCTCGGTAAATCGAACCCTCGATAACTCGAACTTCCCGCTAACTCTAAGTAATTTTTACTTCCCTTCAGATGATTCCGTATAATTTTATCCTCGATAACTCGGACATGTTTTAAGCGCTTGACAAGTCAATCAAAGAAGAAGAAAAGTGTGTACTGCAGTCCGAAACATTGAAAGTAATACTTCAAAACAATGTATTTTTTATCTCTACTTTTTGGTCATCAGTCCATAGCCAGTTCAACTCCGGTGTCAAGCCCTGTGCATTGTGTGTATTAATGAGGCTTTGTTGCCTATTTCCTTTTTTTCGGGTAACTTGCTTCGAACTCCCAATAACTTGAACTGTTAACGATTTCCGTTAAAGGTTCAAGTTATTGAGAGTCAACTGTAGATTATAGGCCCTAATTAATTCATGTTATAATATTGAAATATTAATTAAAGGATATTAAGCACGAGAAGGAATCGAAATTAATAATCAGATGAGAACGATGAGAACAAAAGTTGATTCTCAGGCAGAAATCCAATCCAAACCTTACAGTAACTTGTTAGATGCTTTACTCAAGATGCTATGAGTGACTCGTGGTCAGCAAGTTGCAGTTTTGTGTTGGTCACAGGAATTCACATCTTTTGAGTACACTGGGCACTAATAAGAAGCACCTTTAGAGTTAGTTGTGAGAGCGTGCAAACATTAATTGCAAGGTTCTGTGTTTGATTCCTGGTAGAATTTTTTTCCTCTAAGCATTTCTTCATGTACATGTGCTTAAGAATCATTTTCAATTTTGTGGTACGTGGGTGGTTTGACTAAAGTTAAGTGTAACTATTACTGTACCCCAGATGCAAGGTGAAATTCAATAGTCTTTCATGTAATAATACAAGGCAGATAAATACAACCGGAACTTTATTAAATCTGAAATAAAGGACTTATGTAACACTGTGCTAAATGAGTTAAAATACAGTGTATACGATGCCCATTAAGACTGAAGTTAAAGTACCATGCAGTTGCTGCATTAGGAACTTGCTTACACTGTAACTAAAACAACGTTTTTCAACTTGAAGTAATAACTATTAACATGACAAGTGAATATAGAGCCTATTCACAAAGGTGTGACTCTGGTCTGTAAAGCTGTAAACTTATTATGACCATACCAAACAGCAGTGAAAAGTTGGATGATTTTTTTCCTTCTACCATCGGTATACTGTAGCCATATATTTAGTTTATTTGCAAAGTCAATCACTCAGTTCCGTTAAAAAAATATTCTTTATGAATAGGTTCTAGTAATCCGTTCTAAATGGAACAGTTTTAAGACTTTCCCAATTTTAAAAAGCAACATCAAATGACAACAATATTGCATTACACACATCCAAAGCCTGGCGACGAGAATATGTCTTCTGCCACGTTTGTACAGAATGTTTCCAGAGCACTGGTGTATCTTGGCGACACTGGAAAACTAATACTTGGTCCACAGATGTTTGCTGTTACCCTTTTCCCTTGTGGGGGATTATGCTCAAAATCAATCTCTACCTTCCGTTCAAATCCCGTAGCTGGTAAGTGATATGACCCAGTGGAAAACATCACAATGTCATTAAGAGTAACTACCTTAGTACTCTGGGTCTCCACAACTTTATCGTTATCATTACCAGTATCAACATCCTCTTTTATCTCAATTGAGATAGTTGTCTGGGAAACCTTTCCTCTAAACACATTGCTTAGAAAATTCTCCCAGTTATACAGTATGTCTTCTGCAATTCTCCGGTTTGAACCACGGGTAGAAAGGTTTGCTTCAAAAATATTTGTAAGATCTTCAGGGGTGATCACAGATTCTGTACTATCTGTCAGCTCTGTAAATGACTCTTTTGGAAATCTCCGAAGAACGTTTAGTACCCCACCAAATGAAAGACCCTGTTTAAACTGCAGTATTTAGTCATGACATATATTAATTACATAGTGGTAAGCCATGGTTTGGAGAAGTTTCTCTTTATCATTAAGGGAAACAGAGGCCTTGTTGAAGCCTGCATCAAATCTCTCATCCAGAGCTTGAACGATGTCACTGAAATCCTTTTCCCCAGAAGTTTCTTGAATTTTTAGACACTTAGCCCTTATATCTGGGTTGGGTATTTCCTCAATTTTAAACTTACAACACTGCTTTTCTTCATTTAAAAGGTAATGGACCAGAGATGGACTTAAGTTATGGGGCCCACTACACCCATTTAGCAAACTCAAAGCCACCAAAACCCCAAATATTTCATACTCTTTTCTTTCATAGGCAAGGATATCATGGGAAAAAGTTAAAGATGGAGAACTACCTGCAACAATTCTCTGTTGCTCTAGACCTTGAAAAAGTACACTAAAGAATTCTCTTGTTGGACCTCCCAGATCTACTGCTTCCTCACCAGTGAATCGAACATTAAGAGGTAAATAAAAATCTGACTTATCCTGGCCTCTAACAATTTCGAAAGTGTCGCTCCACACTTTTCCTCTCCTGACATTAATGCGCAGCTTATTTTTGTTCTCGCTGTTACTGGAACCATACACTTCCCTGGCAGCTTCTTTTAGTGCTTCTTTTAGAGTGCTGGCACAATTTGGGCCTTTCAGAGTACTTGTGACATCACTGATTGGTAAATCTAAGAATCAAAGTTCGTTGTAATGATTATGTTGTCATTAAGTTACATGTTAAAGCAGAAAATGGTATCTGCAATCATAATTAATAGATACTTCAATAATATTATTTAAAATTTGAATTAAGTTAAACAGTGTGATGTTACATTGTTTTAGGGTCTCAGTACATACTATCATTGGATGTGTCTTGATCTCCGACAATATCAGCAACAGCATCACTAATTGTTCCATTCTTGTCAAGGACGTCTTTGAGAAATGTAACTTCATGTGAAGGAAACATCTGTATCAACTGGTCAAGACTACCAAGCTGAGGGCTACCAAGCTGTGAGTGCACTTGTTGTTTTGACTCATCAGTGAATGACTCTACAAAGATGACAGTAGAAGAGTGCTTACCACCTCAAGACACGAAGACTAAGGAAATGCTTAAAACTGCACATTTTGTATGGTTATATTTTCATATTGCAAATAAACTTGTTAAAGAAGTGCTGTGTCACATTTGTCAGATCCACTTACCAATTACACAATTTGATGGTGAAGGCAAATCAAGTTTTCTATAAGAATAAAAGTACATGTATATGAATTCAAATTTGCTATACTGTGCATATCCAACCCAGTACTGACAGTGCCACTTGCATTTTTATCAAACCAGAGGCAATCTACTGACTGCACTAAAAGTAAAAAAAAAGAACACACTGCACAGTCCCTGTTACCATTGATATTTTGTTCTTTGTGGAGCACATTACCATTACTTACTCATTCTTTGGGTCCTGACATTTTTCTTTGTGTGATTTAAACGTNCCATTCTTGTCAAGGACGTCTTTGAGAAATGTAACTTCATGTGAAGGAAACATCTGTATCAACTGGTCAAGACTACCAAGCTGAGGGCTACCAAGCTGTGAGTGCACTTGTTGTTTTGACTCATCAGTGAATGACTCTACAAAGATGACAGTAGAAGAGTGCTTACCACCTCAAGACACGAAGACTAAGGAAATGCTTAAAACTGCACATTTTGTATGGTTATATTTTCATATTGCAAATAAACTTGTTAAAGAAGTGCTGTGTCACATTTGTCAGATCCACTTACCAATTACACAATTTGATGGTGAAGGCAAATCAAGTTTTCTATAAGAATAAAAGTACATGTATATGAATTCAAATTTGCTATACTGTGCATATCCAACCCAGTACTGACAGTGCCACTTGCATTTTTATCAAACCAGAGGCAATCTACTGACTGCACTAAAAGTAAAAAAAAAGAACACACTGCACAGTCCCTGTTACCATTGATATTTTGTTCTTTGTGGAGCACATTACCATTACTTACTCATTCTTTGGGTCCTGACATTTTTCTTTGTGTGATTTAAACGTACTAAATGGAACGTTTACTCCACAAAACATGCATGTCACATCTGGGTAGCCATCATCAGAATCCTGTGAGAGAAAATACACGTACATTGTGCATCTCTTGCAATGCCTCCAATGAAAGGGTGTATAAAATAAAACTAACTACTGATAAACTGCTATATTGATCTTTGAATTTTCCTTGTATTTCCTTGTGAATTAAATGGAGATTTTGACAGTACATAATGAGTCACTTATAAATGAAAGTGTATCGACTTTTTACTGCTTATGCCACCATGAAGTCTGTCTTACATGATTTAGAATCTAAGATTTACGAAATGGTGTTTAAGTGAAAAGTTAAAGTAATTTGCCTTGAACTTTCATAGTACAATAAACGCATATAGCATCCCATTTCCCTGACTTCATTGTTATTTTGACTTCAATATAATAATTATTATGTTTCGTTTCCCTCAACAAAAATTCAACAGTTTACCTCATAGGAAAAAGGTGATTCATCTAGGTCACTTTGCAAGGGCCGGATGTAAACAGCAGCCTGAGAAAAGCGTTCTCTCAAGTGGGCCACTGTGTACCCCTCCCTTCCAGGGGGAACATAATGGAGAGGCCTTTGGCCTCCCCCTCCTCCAACAGCTCTCAAGACCTCAATTCCTCCACCATCTCTAAGTCTAGGAAACTTTTCCTCAAGGAAATTCTCCACTTCAATGTGACTTGCCTTTTTATTTGGGAAAACAAGTTTCATCTTTCCCAAACCAGCTTGCATGAGGACGTCCATTCTTTGTCTATCTGGTGTTACGTTTTCATCACACCTTCCCAAGACACAAATGTCATGGGTCCACGTTTCCAAGGGTGTAAAGCGAACAGGTTCATACCCCTTTAGTTTTGGCTTCTTGGATTGAGGAGGATTATTTGCCGCAGGCCTTACAATCATTGCACTTGGTTTAGCTGTAGACATAGGCCTTCTGGTCACATTTCTTGAACAAAGACCTGGAAATAATCTTCTGTTGAAAACAAAAGGTCAGGTCTTATTCACTTGCACTGACCCTGTGATGGCGTAAATTATTGTTTGTCTTCAAATTAAATTCAAACAGATACCACATTGCAATGTGAGTTCAATAAACTCTAAATAACAGAAGATTAAATATCAGTACTTAAGTCTTCAATTTTAACAATCCCTTGGAAAATTACTGATGCAGAGAGTTCATTCAACTTGTACTTCAAAGTGGTTTCCACTTGAATTATTGTGAAGTTAAAAAAATTAATTGTTAGCAGAAATATTTATACTTTAGTCTTGCACATTACATTTTACAGATTATTTCATATGATATGCAAAGTATTTCAGTAATCACAAGTCACATGACAAAGTGCTCATACACCTATATGATTAACAGGAACTGGCAACTTGTATTTTTTTAGTATTTAACAAAGACTAAAAACAGAAGACTGAAAAAACAAACTCATCATGGAGTCATTTACGATTTGTAACTCTTCGGCCATTGTTCATCATATTATTTTATACCACTTTCCATAGCAAGACTTTGCAAAATGACTTGCAGTTGCATCTGGTACATATGGCATATATTGTTCATGCACAAAAATGTTTTGACGTTACCTGTGAGTTTTACAGGTTATTACACCGAGGATGAGCCAAATTTTCCTCAGCAAAATAATCTAATTATGCAGAAAAAGGTGTCTGGCGTAGACAAGGTTGTAAATTTCAAGGACTTTTCAAGACCTGATGAAGAAATCAAGTACTTTCCGAATTCAAGGACTTTTCAAGACAACTAGTAAAATTTAATACCTTTTCAAGATTGAACGAAAGATCTTCGTATTGGAATCTGAAACACCCACTAATAAGAAACTGTGGATCAAGAAACTCCTGGCAGTAATTTGCCACTTTAATACCCAAAAATACAACAACCTGTTAAGCCAAGCAAGATCAAGCAGGCTTTTGTTTGAGTACTAAAAGTAAGTCAAATAAGGACATACTGAAGCTAACCGTATTATAAGATCGGTAATCTGTTTCGTTAGAGGTGTAAATTTTTCTGGTAATCAACAATCTACTAATTTTTTTTCTTCATAAAAATTAAGAACCTTGTTAAGAACCTAGTTAGCCTAAATTGCTAATAAGTAGCCCGAAATACAAGAACCTATTTTGCCAATTTTCTCCCCCGACGTCAACTGTTAGAAGTTTACATCGTGGATTAATATTAAGTATAACTTTGGGCTTAACTACATAATTCTTGTGTGTTGGAATCTAACTAATAAAGTATCGCTAAGTCAGGAAAACAGAGGCCAAATAGTTGACAAAAACTTTTCATGAAAATCAGGAAGCTTACCGAAAATCTCTCCGTGCATCTTCTCTGGAGGTGCTCGATGTGGAAGCCGATGTCGACGCCATTCCTACAGCATCACTTGAATTATCTGATGTTGATGATGAAGCCAGGTGATAACTTTCTTCAAGTTTGGTAATAGCTTCCTTTAAAACAGAAACAGCCCGTTTCGTCGGATCCGAGGAACCTGCCATGTTGGTTTCTGAATTGATCTCACATGGACGACAAAGGCGCAAAGCAAAGCGCGGGAAAAAGCGAAACCGCTGGTCATAAGTAGTGACTGCTACGACACGAGTCAACTTTCGTTGTTTCGTCGGTCTGACTCGACGACGAATCGACGACACGAAGTGTGATACGACAGACGTGCAGTTTCGCGCCTTTTTAAACTAAGCCGCTGACCAGTTAAACCTT